CCCCTTCACCTCTTCCCACACCTCCAACCTGGTGCTTTGGGAATGTCCAAAAGGGCAGCCTGAGGGGAAAGGAGACTTGGCTTCCAGAGACCCTGCCTGTGATCCTCTCAACAGGTGTTTATTGAGTGTCTGGTAGGTGCTGTGATCTGAGCTACAATTCTGTCTTTAGGGAATAAACACAGACATCACCTCATCAAATAAGACATTCCAGTATGTCCTGATGAGTTTCACCACAGGAACCGAGGGAGTTGTGGGAGCCCACAGCACAGAGTTCAGTCAACCTGGGTGTCTGGGACTAGAAGGAAACCAAGGATGACTTTGTGGTTGCCCCTGACCCCAGGAGCGGTGGGGGAGCTGGACGAACTGCTGCTTGAGTGGTTGGAAGTTTGAGCCTCAGGCCTCAAGAGCCAAAAGCAGCACAGTATTACGAAGGGGACAGCCAGTGGCAAGGGCAAGCAGCAGGGGAGAAGGATTCTGGGGGTGCAGCACCAGCTGGCCCTCCTCAGAAGTTAAGAGAACAGTGTGGTATGAGTAAGGGATTTGGAGTCAGGCAAACTAGGTTTAAACCCTGTCTCGGCTGTTGCCTTATTATGTGGATAAGTTGTGTGTTGTCTCTGATCCCATTTCTTTGTGCATAAAACAGGGATATAATATTGCCAAATGCACCGGGATGCCATGAGGGTGAATATGTACAAGTGCTGGGGACAGTGCCAGCACATGGTGGGGACTCAGTGAACATTTGCTATTAGTGTTCCCTTGGGTACCCAGACGGCTTTCTGAGTACAGTGGGTGGGAGAGGAAATGGAGAGGGCACACAGACCTCCTGGCTGAGTCCTTGGTCTCAGTGCACCTGTTTCTGCCCCACTTAATGGGCACATTTGATGAGGTGGGTATGTGCTGAGCCTGATTCCTCTAACCTCTGATTTCTAATTCTTCCCACATTGCAGGAATGACTTGTCCCTTTGCAGGTGGGGAACCCTGAGCCTTACAGAGGTCTGAAGGTCAAGAAGGAACACCTGGCTCTGTTGAGCAACTGGATTCCCCTAATGCTATTGTGACAGTGATGCGCAAATAGAAGTAGATCAGACACGAGTCAACGTGATGCTGCCCACGCCACTTGCTGGACTCTTCTGGACAAACCCAAACCTTGCACTGTCCCATCTGGTTCTCCAGTATCCTTGCACATGATTCTAGCCTCACCTTCAACAAAGCCACACACTCACCAGCCCAAGATATGGTCAATATGGGGTGTTCTAGTCAACTTACTTTTTTTTAAACCATAAACCCACAGCTCAACTGCAAATAGAAAATTCGAATCCATACATTGTTGACTAAACAATTAAATGCCCTTCCTTTGGGAAGTGGGGGAAACTGTAAATTAAGGGCTCATGTTGCCAATCTGTGACACTTAGTTCTGGGGGAAAAGCAACTGGGACCAGGTGTCCTTGTCATCTCAGGCTTCCTTGATCCCTAAAACTCTTGATTTAGCCTTATCAGTCCCTAGAAAACTGTCCAAGGGGGAAAAAAATTAAAAATCATCCTCTGATTTAGCAACCATCTACCAGGCACCATTTCTAATGCCAGTTCCTGAGCTGGGTGCCGGGGATAGGAAGAGAAGTAAAGCACTATCCCTGCCTTCAGGAAGCTCACTGTTCAACACATGAGGCAAAGAAATAAATACTTTGAATACAATTTAATTAGTATTGTCATCAAACGCTGGGTATGGTCAGGGCTCCAGACAACAAGAGACCTCTGAAAATAAGCACTTAGGAAGCAAGCAAAGCAGGGACAATTTTAAATTTGTTATTTGGTTTTTTTAAAGCAAAGAAGTGGGTTTGCTTTTTTTAAAGCAACAAAGTGGAAACATGGGGAAAATCAGAACTTTCTTAGAATTCCTTATAGTTTAATACTGGTTTTATTCTGAATTACTTATTAGGGGATGGAAGGCATTACACCTTTTCAGTGCTCAGGGCCTCTGAATCTGGACAAAAGTAGCTAGATTCCAGAACAACTGAGGGTGTGAAACTGACAGCCTCATGGCCTCCTGATAAGGAAGGAGTTGAGGATGATGCTAAGGTCTCTAGGCTGGGCAACTGGGAGGCTGCACGTACCACCAACCTGCACAGGGAATCCTGAGGGAAAGCACAGGAACAGAGAGCGCTGCAGAATCCATACTTACGAGGGGATAAGTGTTGCCATGAAAGACTGAGAGGGAACAGCCAAGAGATAATAGAACACAGCAAAGCATAGTGTCCCAGAAGCCCAAAGATGAGAAACTTTAGCAAGAGTATTCCAAAGTGTTCAAAGTCACAAGCAGTAAAGGAAGATCAACAGAGTAAGTATAATGGATTTGTCAGTTAGGGTGGTCATTGGTGAGCCTTCCTGGAGAGTTCCAGTCCTGGGGACAGAGTGCAGGGAATGAATGGTAGCAGAGAAAACTGGAGGCTCCTTTGAAGGGAGCTGACATGTCAAAGAAAAAGAGAGAAGGGATAGTAGCTAAAAGGTCAACTGGTCCAAGACATTTGGTTAGCCTGTATTATGTTGAAGATAAAGCTGTTTATAGGCCAAGGGAAACATAAAGGACAGTGTCTGATCCATAGTAAAGAGAGGAGGTAACTGATGGGAGGCCTCTGAGGAGGCTAGGGGCGTTGGGGGGGGGAGTATGAGGCAGGGCACACTTCGAAGGCAAAGGTGGCTGACCAGGCTCCCTCCCTTTCCAATCCTTATATTCATTTTATCCAGCCATTACCGGGCCAAGAAAGGAGACTTTCAGTCCTGAGCATCTTTTAAAGCTAACCGTGTGAAGATAACTGAAAATGAATGTGCTTCCCCCTCTAATGTGCCAAATCTGCGATCATCTGTCACCAAATCCATTTCCAAATCTCCGCTGCTTGCAAGGCCAAACAGCAGATCCAAACGTGGGAAAGGCTTATAAAGAAATGCACTGGTCGCTCTGGAAGCCAGAGCGGCCCTGCCAGAGAGCAGTACCCCTCTGCCAGATCTTGTGCCACCACCACCCCAACTTCTCTCCTGACTGAAGAGCAGCAGGCCAGTGGCTCTCTGCAAGGCAGGATTCCAGCCCCGCTAAACGGCAGCAAACTCGGGTGAGTCGGCCTTTTTCCTTCCCCAGCGGCATGACATACCCAGGGGGTGGGGACAAATCTGGCCAAAAAACAGTTGGGGAATCTCCCCACAGCACAGCAGGGGCCACACCTGAGCAAACGTCCAAAGGCCCGACAGCCGGTTACTGAGGTTCCTTCACCTCCCATGTGGCAAGTCTGGGCGACCAGCGCAGCCACCCAGTGGGTGTGGGAGTGCTCGAGGCCGGAGCTCCAGGGCGCGCGCACCGCGGGCGCCCCTCTCTGGGTGTCGGTGGCTATGACTCTCAGGAAGACCTAAGGAAGTCCGGGCAAGAAGGGATGGGTGAGCTGGGGCTGGCTCGGATCGCCCTCCCTAACATTCCCGACTAAGGAGCTGGCGACACGGTCTGCGGGAACGGGCTCACGGGATGCTGGATCCCAGAGCGGGCCAGAGAGCGCGCCAGCGAAGAGGCGCACTTACAAGAAAGAAGCCCTGAGGTGCTGGAGAAGCCGAAACCAAGCCTGTAGAGGCTCAATCGGTGGTTTAGAGAAGAAAAAAAAAAAAGAAAGCAACACGGCTGCAGGCCTGAGGTGTACTCGGTCCAGGCCTGGGCAGAGGGTGTTTCGGGTTTTCTCCCCCAGTGGGTGTGAGCCTCCAGGCTAACTGAAAATGCGGCCCCAGGCATCGCCCGTGCGACCCGTCTCCACCTCAGCACACGGAACTTCCTAGGCTGTGGCTAGAGCTGAGCCTCAGAGGGGTGGATAAAGTGGGAGGGCACGAGACGAATGCTCCCCGTCGGGGACTAGGTTCTCTCGAAGGTCCGCGAGCCTTCCTCAGTCTGTAAACTGCAACCAGACACCTGCGAAGTTCGGGATTCGCCGAACCCTCCAGGTCTGTCCCTCTCCCCGACTCGGACGCCGGTAGCAGATCCCGCCGTCCGCGCGGCTGCTGCCGCAGCCCCGGCGCTCGGCTGCAGCAGGGCGCGGGAAAGGGCACTTTGGCGCGGAGTGGGAACCGAGGGGAATGTGGCGGCGCGGAGCCTGGCGACGACACTCCCTCCGCCGCCCCCGGACCCAACCCCCACCCCCGCCTTCCAGTCTCTCAGCATCCTCTAGCCCCCACACCCGAGCCTTCCTGCAAAGCGAACGCGGGACCCCCGCCCTGGGCGCGCGCCCACCTGACCCGCCTCCTAGCCCAGAGAGCAGGAGGGGGGCACTTGGGGAGGGGTGGCGGCCGCAGTCTCCGGGCTGCTCCAGCGGGGGCGCGGGCTTCAGTCGCGAGGAAATGGGCGGGGGCAGGGAAGGGCAGACCTTGCAGACGCGGAAGTGGGGAGGGGGCGCGCCATTTCTCCCCAGCGCCCCGGACGGGTGTGCCAACCAGAATAGGGGGCGGGGGAAGCTCCAGGAAAGTTTATCGGGGAAAAGCCTGGTACCTTGGGGGCTGGGAGGCTGGAAAAACTGAAGCCACGGTCCGGGAGCCCCGAAACCCCGGGCGGGGATGCCTGTATCCCAAACCCCCATACCCGCTAGATCTGGCCAAGTTGCGGCTGGGGTTGAGGGTATTAAGGGATGGAGGTGAGGGCACGGTTGAGGTGGGGGGAGGATGGGGGCAGACTGAGGCGAGCACGAGCAGGAGGGTGGGCGACTGGGAGGGTGGAAGGTTAAGGGGGAGGACGGGGGAAGGGACAGGGACCGGGTCGGGGATGGATGAGCTCGGGTGGGGCGCGGCCGGACTTACCCGCGGCGGCCGAGGCGCTGAGCAGCCCCCAGCCCAGCAGCCACAGCAGCGGCGGCGGCGTTGGCGGAGGGAGGCCCCAGCGGCTCCCAGCGCCAGGCACGAGCGCCGAATTCCCGGCTTCACCGCGAGCCCTCCCCGCGGGGCAGCCGCAGCGCCCCTGCTCCTGTGCCCGCGAGCGCGGCATGGCGCAGCCGGCAGCGCCGAGGGAGAGGCTCCGCTCGCCGCCTAGGAGAAAGGAGGTCAGGAGAGCTCTGGAGCTTTTTTCTGCTCGGAAAAAAATCCCGGTACGCGGGAGCCCGAGCTTCTGCGGCTGGAATGAACCAAGTGTCCGCCCGGCCGGGGAGAGGCGCGCTGCGCTCTCGGAAATGACTCGCTCCAATCCCGCTTCGCGGGGTTCGCGCCAGGGGGTGGGGAGGGGGGTGAATTATCCCCGGATTAATCACTCCGGAGCAGCTTCTCCGCCGCTCCAAATGCTGCGGGTGGAGGCGCAGCAAAGGAAAAAATATTGGGGTGTGGGGGTTCTTCTTCAGCGCCACCTCCACCTCCAGATAAACCACAAATTAAAGCTAAAGGGTTGTTTATTCTTGTTTGTTTTACAATTGACCAGTTTCTTTTAAGTTCAGTCCTCTCGTTTCCATTTATAAGATCATGCGTTAATCCACCCTCCATACACACACACACGCGCGCACGAACACACGGTGGTACAGGCAGACACGCACTCACATAGGCACACACACACGCCTCTTCCACGTTTGGAAACTGGAATACTGTCGGGGAAGAGGTAACCAAAGAAGGACGCGGTTCCCCAAGTCAAGGCTCTCACGACCAAATCTTGGGTGGTGGCTTTAAACTTGGAACCTAGAGCCAGGCGCGATGCTTAGAAGCCCCATTCGCAATAACCTCCTGCCGTCCGAGGCGAAGGGTGTCTGTGTAGACCCAGTGTTAAGAATAAAGGATGGGGGGTCATCTGGCCCTGTACTGTCCTACCCCTGCCCTAAGACAAAATCTCAGGATGGAGGAAAGAGTACCTGTGGACGCTGGGAGCTGGAGGGTTGGGGGTGGAAGGTTTAAGGGGGTGCAGGAGAGATTGGGTAGGAAGACCCTGCAAGAGTTATTGTACAATTTATCTTCAAAATAACCGGACCTCCCCCTCCCAGACATGGCCCCAAACAGGGTGAATTTCTCCCAGTGCCGTGAACCGCTTCCATCCTCCTCCCCCCTCCGTCCCCTGTCTGCGTTGCTGCCAGGCCCCAGGGACTCAGCGTCGGAACCTACCCGACCCCCCACCCCTATTCGGTCGCTGCCTCTGTCTGGTCTCCCCTAGGCTCCTCAGGCAGACGCGATGGCTCCTTCGCAGTCTACGGCCAAACTCTCTGCAAGAGGGAAGAGATGTGTGGCAGGGAGGCCAGAGGCGTCCGGAAGGAGCAAGGAGAACTTGGGGGGACAGTGGCAGGGGGCAGGGGGGTGGGCAGCTGGCGCGCCCCGCGGAAAGATATTTGCCCATTGAGCATCTCGTCCCACTTTGCCAGAGGCACCCGGGAGAGGCTGCCCTGGGGGCTTAGGGGGTTTGGCCAAGCCGGAGCTCTGATATCTGTTAAGACCAGGGACAGTGTCCTGCAGTCGGCGGAGCCTGGGAATGTCCCGGAAAAAGCATGGAAAGAGCTGTGGGGCTGCCAGACCTCGGGTGGGGAAGCTGGCAGGCAGGCCCAGTGCTGTGGTTGGTTGTCCTTGCTCCCCAAGAAAAACTTGCTCCCCAAAGCCATGATCTCCTTGATGCCTGCCTTTGTCCCCCACTCCAGGTTGTTCTGGTCTCCCTGCATGAGCTCATCCCACATCTGGGGGCCAGCCTGGTGGCCCTGGACTGGCGAGCTTCCTCAGAATCATTGGCCCCATCCCCACCCCCAACACGCTTGCTTTCTCGCCCCTCCCGATGCTGCCTCTCTGGGTGCCAAGAACCAAATGAAGCAGCCAGAACTCCACAGTGAAAGGCCTGCTTTATGTCCCCACGGCAGCCGGGAAGGGGCTTTTCACTTCTCATTGTCCAAGCCCAGCCCCCAAAAGGGCTCAGCCGGACACGACTGCCCTAGGCCTTCCACCAGCCCTGGAGAGAAGGGGGGGACTGGCTGTGCAAATAGTGGGTGGTGGCCTTGGCAGGGGGAGGGGAGCTGAGGAGAGGCTTTCCCTGGGGTGGACTCATGACTCCTAAGCTTGGACCTTTCCCCTCTCCTGCTGACTGGTTCTGCAGTGACAGGGGCTGGCAGAGATGCTCAGCCCTTCCCTGGAGCCCACAAAAAGAGAGTCTGCACTGCTCTGCAATTCTGGGGCTCCAAGCTATCAGACTTCCCCATCCTCTTCTCAGCCCCAGTACTTTGCTCTGTGACTGCAACCTGAAGCTGAGGTTTACCCCCAAACCCTTCCTGGCAAAAGGAACGTTTGCCAGGCTCTATAGGGGCTATGGAGGGCAGGGGCACCCTTTTTATCCCTGTAAATAGCCCATTTACTCATTTCATCCACCATCCGTCCCTCTCTCTGACTTATCTGGGTCCACATACAGTTACTGAGCCCTCCTGGGCTCTAGGCCCTGGGCCAGCCTGTGCTATGGGCAGTGCTGAGATGCAGTGTGTGGTCCATCTGGGGAGGATGGAAACCCACACACACCCCATACAGTCAGGCAGTGGTACAGAAGGGGCATGTTATGGAGGCACATCAAGACAGTGAGCTTTTCTTGGACTGGGGGATGGAATGGCTGATTTAAGGAGGGAAGTAGGATATTAGCTGGATCCTGAGGCCTGGATAGAGACTTGACAAGGTGAAGATTTACTCAACAAATACTGATTGAGCATCGTTACACACCAGACATTGTGGTAGATAATGAACATACACCCAAGTGAACAGTCCCTGGCTTGATGAAGGCAGGCAATAAACACAATAAATTTATATAAAGTCATTAATTAAGGATGCTATAAAAGAAAAGGTCTTGGAGTTATGAGAAAGAATACAGATGGGGGAAGCATACAATAGGTGGTCTGGGAGAGCCTCTCTGAGGTGGTGACCTTTGAAGGTGGGACCTAAAATTAAGCAAGATAGCCATGCAGTTGAGAAAAGGCCTTGGTACAGAGAGCATGGGCAAGGCCCTGTGAAAGGGAAGGGGACCTGGAAGAGGGTGGGGCTGGATCAAGGTGAGCAAGAGGTGACACCAGGAGATGAGGGAGGGGATGGGGCAGGAACCAGACCATGCAGGGTCTCATAGAGGATGGTGGGGAGTTCAGAGTTTGGTCTCAAGCAGTGAAAAATAGGAGGTATATTAGTTTGCTAGGGCTGCTGTCATAACAAAATACTATACACTGTGTGTCTTCAACAACAGACACGTAATGTCTCATAGTTCTAGAGGTTAGAAGTTCAAGATCAAGGTGTGGCCAGGGTTGGCTCCTTCTGAGTCCTCTCTCTTGACATTAATGTCATCTTCACCCTATGGTCTTTATTGTCTCCCTTCTGTACATCTGTGTCTAAATCTCCTCTTCTTGCAAGGACTCCAGTCATACTGGATTAGGGCCCACCCTACTCTGATTTAACCCGATTACCTCTTTAAACCCCTGCCTTCAAATGTAGTCACATTCTGAGGTACTGGGGGTTAGGACTTCAATATACAAATTTCGGAGGAACACAGTTCAGCCCATAACAGGTAGGGAAGACTTTTCAGGTGGATAGAGGAAAACGAGCAAATGCATAACAGAATATGTATATTTGGAGAGATCTCTGTTAGGGCTGTGTATAGCATGGCTGCTCAAGTGGAGATGCTCTGGAAAGGTGGACAGCTCAATACCAGACAGGTAGATTTGAATTTCTAGGAATTAAATGTCAACTGGCATGGCCTGGCATGTACCCTGACTTCTCTGTGGGTAATAGATAGGAAGGGAAGGAGCAAAGGAAAATCACTTGGGAAGTTACTGGAATAGTCTAAGTTGGACGTGATGTGAGCAAAGGCAGACATGGGGCCGTGGGACAACCGCAGGGCAAGAAAGAGGCAGGAGTCCAAGAGATAGTACAGCCCTGCCCCATCTAGCCTGAGTGAGTGGCTCTCAGGCCTGGCTCCCCACTGCCCCTTCCATTCTCCTCAGGAGCAATAGGTAGGCACGAGTAAGGGCCTCTTCACAATATTACACTGCAAAAAAGCCCAATGAGGTATAGTGACTCGCTGAGATAAGCTTAATATCCAGATAAAATCAGAGTTCATTTTAGAGAGAAAACAAGGCCTGATGCTCTGGAGAACTTGGCCTGATTCAAGTAGAGGCTGTAGACTGAAAGTGATGCCCTGAAATTTTCTTTCTGACTCAAGATGAAAATTAAAAAAGAGCCTTCTGAGTCCAAGAAAGAGCAAATTTGAGGCTCTAGCAGTGAGGGTGGAAATAGAGGCTGAGGGGCAAGCAGGACTATAGAGAAAACCTGCAGAGCAGAGGTGAGGGCTCGGAGGAAGAGCCTGGGGTCTGAGTGGAGGGTAAGGATTTTAAATCATGAGCATGATCAGACAGAAGCTGGCATTTCCCAAGAGGGAGGCCATCACGGTAGAGACAGTAATGATCTGATTCCCAAGGAAAGATAACAGAAGAGATTTTGAAAGAAAAGAACGAACTGCAGTGGGGCCTTGGGCCTCCATAGCCAGTACGGAGAAGGGTCCATAGTCCGGACCATTCCTCCAGTGTTGTCAAATGCTGGGGCCACCGATTCTGAGATTTATTGCAAGAAATTCTCCATTTGTGAAGCAAGGAAAGGAATAAAGTTCACATCAGTGGCAAAAGAGGTCAAATTTTTCCTCTGCTTGTCAGAGGCCATGATCCACAGGAGAGGGGCTATTCCAGGCTATCATCTCTACTTGAAGTTCTTCCAATCAGCTGTGCTACCATACCTTAGTGCCTTTACTCATGCTGTTTCCTCTGACTGTAATACCATTCCCTCTCTCACTGTGTAGAGTAAATGATTCCTAAAGATCATTCTTCTCAGCGTCACTGCTCTCAGGTAGCCTTTCCTAACCACCTTCCCTGCCTGCCCCCCTTGCACACACACACATACCCCTTACTGGGTCAGATGTCTTTGCAGTGTGGACAGGTAGCTGAACATCAAAAATGTATGCTTCCCCTTCCCTAATATAAAACAGTGGCTTTTAACCAGAGGCGATTTTGCCTCCCAGGGGACATTTGGCGATGTCTGCAGACATTTTAGGTTGTCACAACCGCAGGGTGGTACTGACACCCAGCAGATAAATGCCCAGGATGCTGTCACAACATCCTACTGTGTGCAGGGAAGCTTTCCTTCAGCCCAAAGAATTATTTGGCCAAAAATGTCAATATTGCTGAAGTGTCACTGAGAAGTGATTGCCCAGGCAGAAGTACATTTTTTAGTCCCCTTTGTAGTGGGTGAAGTCATGGACAAAGTTCTAGTTAAAAGAATAGGTAAGCAGAAGTGGTGTGTGTCACTTCGAGGCTTATCCCATAAAATCCTGTCATCCTTACTCCATCTGCTGGCGTGCTATAGAGCATGTGGGCTCCTAGAGGATGGCCATGCCACAAGATGGAAGCTTGAATCCCAAATCACTGTGAGGAAGAAACCAACCAGGGACAGACCTTTAACAGAATGAAGCCCCTGAAGTATTGGGGTATTACAGCAGCTACCAATGCTTTTTTCTATAGTATCCTGTGAGTCATTCACTTACTCCTCACTTTTTCATTCATTTGTTCATGCCACAAAACATTGATCTGCATGCCAGGTTCCCTGCTGGTGCTGAGGATGCAGATAAAAAGAAAAAGATGACATTCCCAGCAGCCCCTGCCCGCCGGAGGTTGATCTTTTGTTGAGAAGAGAGTTAAACAGTAAAATCTGATTAATTACTCCAAGAAAAATACAGGATATGATGGAAATGAGAAGGGCTCCTAGCTCAGCCTGGGGAGAGAGGCAGGTGAAAAATGGGACTTTCTCCAAAGGAAGTGGTGGGCAGGTGCAGGAGGGTAGACACAGCATGAAGAATCTGCAGTGCCCACAGCAGCCCGGGATACGCCTGTGGGAGGAAGGCACTACACACTCCTTATATGCTGTTAGATGGTATACAGCATGCCTACTATACTGTACATACTGTTCTGCGACTCTCCAATCTCTGTGATTGCCGGCTTTCTCATCTGGTCCTCCTCCCACCCACCAGTGGACTGGGAGTTCTCTGTGGCAAAAACCTTCCCCTGAAGGTCTCCTGAGTCCTTAGGACCTCTGGTGTGTCTGGTATTCTCTCCTCTTGGATGTCCTACAGGACCCTCTGCCCAGTCTGCTCACAACCGAACTTACCCACTTCCAAACCATCACCACAAGTCATCTCTGCTTCATCCCTCATCTCAGGAAGCAGTCTCCATGTCCACCCAGTCCTGAGCCAGAAACCTGGAAAATCATCCTGGGCTGCACTCTCTCTCAGCCCCGACATCCAGGCGGTTCCTGAGTCCTCTAAATTCTGCATTCGTAACATCTCCCAGATCCTAGCTAAGACCCCATTGTCCTTCTTCTGGGCTTCTTACAGCAGCCACATGTGAGCGCCTCACCTCTGCTTGTTCCCTAGTCAATGGATCTTCTTCTTCACCGCCAGTTAACTTTTAACACTCACCTGATTTCACAGCTCCCCTACCTTCCCACGATGTTTCCCCATGGCCTGCAGAGTGAAATCCAAACTCCCTGCTAGACCCTCCATACAAGAGTCTCTGTTACCTACCCCTGCCTGCTCCCTAGCCTCCTGTCTCCCCGCTCCCCACCTCTTATGCTCCAGCCACCCCAATGAGGCCCTTGCACTCCCGAAATGAGTGTGCTTTTTCTCTCCCTTCCCACTGGGTCCTT